TCCTCGATGTCTCTGCAGGAAGCCCACCGCAGGGGAATATTAACAATGGCCCCGACAAAAAAATAGCTTACATGGAGTCCATTCGCTCCTCTCCATTCATGAAGAAGAAAAAGAGTTGATTTTATACCCCGCCCTTCACTACCGGAAGGAGTCTCGGAGCAGCTTACAATCTTCTTCCCTTCCTCTCCCCACAACAGACACCCTGTGAGGTAGGTGGGGCTGAGAGAGCTCTTTCAAGGACTGCTCTTGAGAGAACAGCTCTGAGAGAACTGTGACTGACCCACGGTCACCCAGCTGGCTGCATGTGGTGGAATGGGGAATCAAACCTGGTTCTCCCAGATTAGAGTCCTCCCACTCTTAACCACTACACCAAACCACTACATTACTACACCAAACTGAGAACAACCCCACATTAACCTTTGCTTACTTAGGAAAATGCGGCCTTCTGTATTTGCAAGAAACATTTCTCCATCTGCACCAAATGGTGGAAAGCTGCTCTTTACATAATAAATGTTGTGTGTGGAGGGGGTGTTGTTGGGTTGCGATTACAGCCAAGATCTGGGATCGAGGGTTGTATTCTGGGATTCGTAGGGGTATATTTTCACACGATACCTTGGATCGAGCTAAACCCAGTCATAGAGCCGGCTCCAGCTCAGCACTTCCATAGATGCAAGAGGACTTCCGCCTGCAGACGACTTCCACAGCTCCCGCCTTCTGCAGCAGCCCAGAAAGATCTCTACAATCTTGCTCCTGGTGTGAGGAGACTCCCAGGAACAGAATTTCAGAGGGCATTTGGGGCTGCGATGGTTGGGGGGGGGGGGCTGAGGAAGTCATGTTCTGTGGGCAGAATTTCTTGTGGTGGTGGTGGAGAGTGCGGTCAAGTCGTGGCCGACTTCTGGCAGCCCCCTATGGTTTTCAAGGCAAGAGATGTTCAGAGGTGGTTTGCCATTTGGTGAAGATAACTGTGTGCAGTTCTGGTCCCCACACCTTAAAAAGGATATTATAGCTTTGGGAAAAGTGCAGAAAAGGGCAACTCGAATGATAAAAGGGTTGGAACACTTTCCCTATGAGGAAAGGTTAAAGCGCTTAGGGCTCTTTAGCTTGGAAGAACGACGACTGAGGGGTGACATGATCGAGGTTTATAAGATTATGCATGGGAAAGAGCAGGTAGAGAAAGAGGTACTTTTCTCCCTTTCTCACAATACAAGAACTCGTGGGCACTCCATGAAATTGCTGAGCGGTCGGGTTAGAACGGATAAAAGGAAGTCCTTCTTCACCCAAAGAGTGATTAACACATGGAATTCACTGCCACAGGAAGTGGTGGCGGCTACAAGCATGGACGGCTTCAAAAGGGAATTAGATAAGCATATGGAGCAGAGGTTCATCAGTGGCTATTAGCCATAAGGTATAGATAGGGACTCTGGGGCAAGTGATGCTCTGTCTTCTTGGTGCTTCGGGGGGGTCAACAGTGGGAGGGCTTCTAATGTCCTGGCCCCACTGGTGGAACTCCTGATGGCACCTGGTATTTATGGCCACTGTGTGACACAGAGTGTTGGACTGGATGGGCCTTTGGCCTGATCCAACATTGGCGTCTCTTATGTTCTTAAGATGATGGAACTTGCAGAGATGGCTAAACTTACTTCCTTGATTAAAGACATTACCTACATTTATCGCTAACTGGAAACCCTTTATAGACTTTCTGCAGGAAAGAGAAAAAAAATGAACTGATGAGATGTGGATTTGAGGATTAAGGGTGACAAAAATATTACAAGTTAGGGGGAAAAAGAAAAACGTATTTTTTTGTAAGTGTTATAGTTGTAATTTTGCTTGTATTTGTTGTGGAGTCACTTCTTTATATTTTCTTTTTTTTCTATTCTTGCTTTACTTTTTAGTTCTTTATCTCTTTTCTCTTAATATTTTCTGGTTGTTTTTATCTCTTTGTTTGAGAGCAAGTTTGGTGTAGTGATTAGGAGTGCGGACTCAAATCTGGGAGAACCGGGTTTGATTCCCCATTCCTCCTCCACATGCAGCTGCTGGTGTGACCTTGGGTCAGTTCCAAGTTCTTTCAGAGCTGTTCTCTCAAGGGCAGTTCTTGAAAGAGCTCTCTCAGCCCCACCTACCTCACAAGGTGTCTGTTGTGGGGAGGGAAAGGAGATTGTAAACTGCTCTGAGATCCCTTTGGGTAGTGAAGGGTGGGGTATAAATCCAATCTCTTCTTCTTCTTCAAATCTTGTTAATAAAATTCACTGAAAAACAAAAAGGAGGTTTACCATTGCCTGCCTATGTGTTAAGACCCTGGACTTCTTTGGTAGCCTCCCACCCAATTACTAACCAGGGCGAACCCTGCTTAGCTTCTGGAATTGGACGAGATCGGGCTAGCCTGGGCCATCCGGGTCAGGGCTAGAAGTTTATACCCACAGAAATGTTGAGCTGGATACAACTCATTGTATTGTCACCTAAAGGCCACCGTAATTCTATCTGAGGGCCTCATAATCTGGTGATTTGGGACTATTCCACAGAGGTTCATGGCATGTTTCCATCAGCAGCAGAGATCATTTCGGGGGGGATCGCAGTTCCCCCGGGTGAGGTGCAGGGGGGCGGGGCACATGACGAAGCCCCGCCCCCTGCTTCCGGCCGCCCCGCTTCCGGCCCTCATTCAGCCAGGAGGAGGCAGGAGAAGAGGGAGGGTAAGTTGCTTCCTCCCCGCCTCTCCCCACCCCTGCCTGCCTGGGGCCAGGGAGGGCCTTGGCGGGGCTTCCTCGCACTCCCGCTGGCCTTGCAGGTCCACCGCCGGGCCCCTGATGTCAGGGGGTGTGGCATATGCTAATGAGTTATGCTAATGAGTTCCCCTAGCTCTTTTTCTACAAAACGACCCCTGATCAGCAGTCTTTCCGAAAGAATTCTAGACCCAATGTGGAGTCTGTCTGGCTCAGTGGTTGCCCCAAACTGTGAAGAGGCATTTTTTTTTTAAAAAAATTGCTAAGTCTAAACTGGGCAGACTGAGTTGGCCAAAGACACCATTAATGAAATCACTTCCCAGTTTAATCCTTTAAAACCCTTAAAGGTCAACATATAAGGCAGCATGGTTTCTTTCATTACAATAAATCCTTAAAACAAATATTAAATTACAAAGAGAGCGCCTGGCTGGCGAGCAGAATTCAGCACAGTTGCAGACACGCTGATATGAATAACATTTGTCTGAAGTGGCAAAAACCGAGTGGCTGCCATTTTGAACATGCCAATGCAGACTATGTCGGCAGCAGTGTTCCCTTGAAGCTGAGGTAGTGTGAGCTAGCTCACAGGCTTTTAGCCTCTGGCTCACAGGGTTTTTTTGTCTCAGCTCAGGCAGGATGGCTCCAGAGCAAACTAATTTCTGCAGTAGCCAACTTGGTTGCTCACAGCTTTAATGCCAGTATCTCAGAAAGTGGAATTTTTGCTCACAAGTCTCCACAGCTTAGAGGGAGGATTGGTCAGCAGGTGTGTAATTTTGAGAAAGTCAGACTTCATTTGTTTGGGGAAGGGGCATGGCTCAGTGGAAGAGCCTCTGCTTTTGCAAGCAGAAGGTCCCAAGTTCAGTCCTTGGCACCTCCAGTTAAAAAGGATCGGGTAGTTGGTGGTGGGAAAGATCTCCACTTGAGACCTTGAAAGTACTGTTGCCTGTCTGAGTAGACAGTATTGAGCTTGACGGACCAGCGGTGTGATTCAGTATAAAGCAGCTTCATGAGGTTTTTTTTTTTTTTTTTTTAAAGCATGGTTCAAGGCCTTACGGTGACAGAAAATGAATTCAGCATTTGGACGAATCTGGATTACAACCCGCAGAAGAGAAAAATAAAATGAAGAGAATCCCTCTGTCACCCTGACACTGTTATTACCCTGTTTTCCCGAAAGTAAGACATCCCCCGAAAATAAGACCTACTTACAGTTTTGCCTCTCGCTGAAATATAAGACATCCCTCGAAAATAAGACCTCCCCGATAATAAGGCCTCCCCCGAACATAAGGCCCCCAGAAGCTACCGTAACTCTGGACTCTGGGCTGTAGTGGCGGGCGCCGCCGCGCAGCTCACTGTTGGCCGCCGCGCAGCCGGAGCAGACAGGAAGTGCGAGGTCTCTTTTAATTAGAGAGCCCGCGCCTCCACCAGGACAAGCTGCCGCCTGCTGTACCGTATTCTTCTTCATGGAAAAATAAGACATCCCCTGAAAATAAGACCTAGCGCATCTTTGGGAGCAAAAATTAATATAACACACTGTCTTATTTTCAGGGAAACACGGTAGCTAGTCCGATCTGGTGGGAAATTCCCTCTTCTTTTTTGGGGGTATTTTTTGTATTTGTGTGTCTGTGTGCCCACGCCTGGAAGTCATGGCGACCTCTGGCGACCCCTAGTGGGGCATGGAGGATGTTCAGAGAAGCGGCTTGATAGCCTGCCTCTGCCTCCCGGCCCTGGTATTCTTTTTTTGGGGGGGTATTTTTGCATTTGTGTGTGTGTGAGTGTGAGTGTGTGAGTGCGCGCCCATGCCTGGAAGTCATGGCGACCTCTGGCGACTCCTACTGGGACATGGAGGACGTTCAGAGAAGCGGCTTGATAGCCTGCCTCTGCGTCCCGGCCGTGGTATTCCTTGGAGGTCTCCCATCCAAACACTTGCCAGGATTGGCCCTGCTTAGCTTCTAAGATCTTACGAGATCGGGCTTGCCTGGGCTATCCGGGTCAGGGCGAAAATTCCTTCTTGGACCTGAATACGGTGGTCACTCAGACCCTGAATTCCAACAGGAGCTATCAATCGAATCTTCCCTAAGCAAATGTTACTGCAGTACCAAATTACTGTCTCCCACCGTGGTTGCCCTCGATACATTATGATGTCAAACAGCGTAGGTGGAGATAGGAAGAAAAATCCACAGTCATAATGGCTGGCTCAAAGCCGTGCAAGGGGACGGGCGTCCACATTCTGTCCCCTGCTGCATTATAATGTCGTTAACAGAAACCTCAGACAGCTTATAAAATCACTTACCGCAGCTTGGTCAAAATGTCCAACAACTGGAGACCTGGAAGGAGCAATAAAAGACAAACATTGATTGATGCCGTCAGCTACTTATTGAATCGTTCTCTGGACAAGGTTTAACTTATGGAGTGCTCAGCTTGTACTGCACCACAGAGGGAAGGCTTTTTGGCCCAGAATGCATTGGGTTCTTTTATTTGCACGTGTTTTGTACCTTTTAACCTGTATCTCTATATTCTGACATCTGTCCTGATATTCGTTATAGGCAGGGCTTTTTTTTCTGGGGGAACATGCCGGAATACAGAACGAAAACTTCATTTCCCTCTTGAAAGTTCTAGCAGCTCTTTTTTTTTAAAAAAAGAGAAAGAAATAAGAAGCAGCAGCAGCCCTGATATATGTACTTATATACAGAACTGTAGATATCTGGTTTTTATTGAGATTTCAATATTTTCTATGCACTGTTAAAATATATTGGATATTTTTATATTACCCCTGCGTGTTTAGCTGTATTTGATTTATTGTTTTTGCCCTAACCTCTTGTGGTCTGACACACCTTATGGGTTGGATCCTATGAAATTCTTCCCCTCACGCTTTTCTCTGGCTGCTGCAGAGGCTTTCCTCTGCTGAAGCACTTGCTTGCTCTGCCGCTAGCACTTCCGTGTGTGTGAGATCAAAGGCATGTTTACAAGTGTGTAACTGCTTGAAGTGAGTGCCAGATCAGAGGAAAGCCTTCATGTGTCTGGAGAGAAGCACATGGGGAATGATGTCATAGGATTCACACCAATATTTCCTTGGGTGCAGCCAGACACAAGTGGCTATTGCACAATCAATGCGCAATAGCAATCAGAGGAAAGCCTTCATGTGCCTGAAGAGAAGCACACGGGGAACGATGTCATAGGATTCACACCAATATTTCCTTGGGTGCAGCCAGACATAAATGGCTATTGCACAGTCAATGCGCAATAGCGATTTTTTTGCAACTGGATTAATTTTGTGTGCCCAAGCCAAGCTAGTTGTGAATGACTGCTGTAGCATGACGAAAAGGACTTCCAGTGGTGTGGTGCTGGAAGAGGAATGGTGGGTGCCGGGGTCTGGGGCAGGGAAAGTATGGGAAACCTGTTGCACGGATACTCTGTTATTGCTGAGAATGCCGATACATTTGCACCAGTGACAATAGTCTTGCCACCACGTGAAAGCAACCTGATTTGGGTTCAAAAGATCTGGGCTAGGCATTACCTATGAACTCGTTCCGGAGTTGAGTCCTGGCTCTTAGTTCCTCGGTTCCCAGTATTATCGCGTTGATGGCACTTAGGAGCGTTATCATGTAGGGCACGTTGTCTGTAGCTAAGAGCTCGTTCATGATCACACTGAATCGATACTGCTGGGTTTTCACCGTCTGGCAATGTTGAAAAAGCAGATCACAGGCAAGACAAATCACAAGCGGCTTTATAAAGTCAAGGTTAAGGACATCAGAAGAGCCCTGCTGGATCAGACCGGTGGTCCATTTAGTCCAGCATCCTGTCTCCCACACTGGCTGACCAGTTCCTCTGGAGGGCCAACAGCAGGGCATAGAGGCCGGGGCCTTCACTAAAACAAAATAAAATCCCTGTTGGATCAGACCGGTGGTTCATTTAGTCCAGCATCCTGTCTCCCACAGTGGCCGACCAGTTCCTCTGGAGGGCCAACAACAGGGCAGAGAGGTGGAGGCCTTCCCCTGATAAGAACATCAGAAGAGCCCTGCTGGATCAGACCAGTGGCTCATCTAGTCCAGCATCTTGTCTCCCACAGTGGCCGACCAGTTCCTCTGGATGGTCAACAACAGGGCATAGAGGCCGAGGCCTTTACTAAAACAAAATAAAAGCCCTGCTGGATCAGACCGGTGGTCCATTTAGTCCAGCATCCTGTCTTACACAGTGGCCAACCGGTTCCTCTGGAAGGCCAACAACAGGGCATAGAGGCTGAGGCCTTCCCCTGATGTTGATTCCTGGCAATGGGACTGAGAGGTTGATTGCCTCTGAATGTGGAGGTAGTTCAGGTTGAAAAATGGAAACACGGTTTGGTGTAGTGGTTAAGTGCACGGACTCTAATCTGGGAGAACCGGGTTTGATTCCCCACTCCTCCACTTGCTCCTGGCTGGATGACCTTGGGTCAGTCACAAGCTCTGGCACAGCTGTCCTTGAAAAAGAGCAGTTTCTGTCAGAGCTCTCTCAGCCCCACCCACCTCACAGGGTGTCTGTTGTGGGGAGGGGAATGGAAAGGAGTTTGTAAGCCGCTCTGAGACTCCAAGTGAAGGGCGGGGTATAAATCCAATCTTTTCTTCTCTTCTTATGGCAGTTAACAGCTGCTACATACCGACTGCTAACTGGAGCTTGAGATGTGGCTTTTTTTGGGTCCTAAAATCTGCCATGGTGGTGCAGGAGAATCTGGGTCAGGGCTATGTTGCTTGGGATGAAGTTTTATAACTCTTCATTTCCATTAGTTCATTCACAAATTGAGAACAATCCCACCCCCCCGGTTGAATATGGACACAGAATTCTTACCTCACTACAGATGGTAATTTTCTGCCCCTCAGCATTTCTTGCCCTGACCTGGATAACCCAGGCTGGCCTGACCTTGTCATTTCTTGGAAGCTAAGTAGGCTTGGCCCTGGTTAGTATTTGGATGGGAGATGACCAAGGAATACCGGAAGAAGTAGAAGAGATTGGATTTATACCCCACCCTTCACTCGGAGTCTCGTAGCGGCTTACAATCTCCTTCCTCTCCCCACGACAGACACTCTGTGAGATAGGTGGGGTTGAGCGAGCGCTGAGAGAACTGCTCTTGAGAGAACTGCTCTGAGAGAACTTGTGACTGACCCAAGGTCACCCAGCTGGCGCCAGGTGAAGACGTGGGGAATAAAAACCGGTTCTCCCAGATTAGAGTCCGCCGCTCTTAACCACTACACCAAACTGGCTCTCCCCACAACAAGCACCTTGTGAGGTAGGTGGGGCTGAGAGGGCTCTTTCGAGGACTGCCCTAGAGAGAACAGCTCTGAGAGAACTTGTGACTGACCCAAGGTCACACCACCAGCTGCATGTGGAGGAGTGGGGAATCAAACCTGGTTCTCCCAGATTAGAGTCCGTGATCCTAACCACTACACCAAACTGGCTCCCAAGTGAATCATGTTGGATAGCAACCATTTCTTCCCCTTCTCAGGACACACAAGCTTCATGGAGTGCTGGACATTTTACTTTTGACTTGCCTTGTAATGATCCAGAGCATCTAAAGCCAGCGCGTGGCCATCCACCGAGTATATGCAGAGGGCAGCCAAGAGTTCGAACACTTGCTTCTTGACCATGACATTGGAGGTGTCCAGCGCTGCAAAGGCAGAGGACGAGTGAGAACAGGTGCAAACATCCCCCAGATGCAAACACCCCCCAGATAAGAGCTACGAAAATGCCTCCGCATAGCAAATTCCCAAACAACAGCAACGAAATAAGTCCCAGCCGTCTGGCAACTATATTACAACAAGTTCAAAGCAGATGTGGAACATGGCATTCCTTGGTCCATGGTTTCAAGATCTGTACCTTTCAATATGCCCCTAACAGGATGGTCCAGGAAGCTAAGCAGGGTTGGCCCTGGTTGGTATTTGGATGGGAGACCACCAAGGAAGTCCGGGGTCACTATGCAGCAAAAGGCAATGGCAAACCACCTCTGTTAGTCTCTTGCCTTGAAAACCCTAGGGGGTCTCCATAAGTTGGCTATGACTTGACAACACACACACACCCTTTCAATCAAGCCAACACATCTTCTGACCACTGTCCCCTCTAAGATGAGCTAGTGTGAGCTGGCTCACAGTTTTTTAGCCTCCGGCTCACACATTTTTCTCTTCGCTCAGGAAGGAGGGCTCCAGAGCAAGCTAATTGATGCAGCAGCCAAATCTCTCGCTCACAACTTCAATGCCGGTAGCTCACAAAGTAGAATTTCTGCTCACAAGACTCCACACCTTACAGGGAGCATTGCTTCTGGCCCACCAAGCTAACTGCAGTCCGCCATCTAAACAGGAGACGCCAGCAAAGGATCGATAGACCTCCTGCTTTCTTGGTGGTGGAAAGGGCTGTCATGTTGCAGCTGACTTATGGTGACCCCTAGTGGGGTTTCCAAGGCAAGAGATGGTCGGAGGTGGTTCTGCCACTGCTGCCGTCTGTGTCGCAACCCGGGACTTCCTTGGTGGTCTCCCATCCAGGTATTAACCAGGTCTGACCCTGCTAAGCTTCTGAGACCTGACGAAATCAGGCCAGCCTGGGCCATCCGGGTCAGGACCAGTGTTCCCTCTAAGCTGAATTAGTGTGAGCTAGCTCACAGTTTTTTTTAGCCTTCAGCTCACACATTTTTGTCTTAGCTCAGGGAGGATGACTCCAGAGCAAACTAATTTATGCAGTAGCCAAATCGCTCGCTCACCACTTTAATGCCAGTAGCTCACAAAGTAGAATTTTTTGCTCACAAGACTCCACAGCTCAGAGGGAGCAT